TGTAGCCGTGCCACCTCTCCTCACCTCATCCCTCTTGGGAACAGCACCACGGTTTATGCTGGGGTTTTCCAGGTCCGGCCACCAGCCACGCGCTGGCCTGGCAGCCCACTGCCTGGCCTGCCAGCGGGCCAGGGCAGGAAGTTCTCACCCCGTCTGGTGACCACACTCCTGTGGGCGCGGGGCACTTGTGCCATGTCAAGACACTGCCGTGCACCACTGCTTCGGTTTCCCCCAGCTGCGGCCCTGCCTGCCAACCTCGCTACCGTCTTTCCATCCACGTCTCACCATCCTGATGTCCCGTTTCACAGGGGGAACAAGTTTCTGCCGTAGCCTTTAACCTCCATGCCAAGGAGGTGGCACACAAAGCCACCGGCCCTGCCACGATAAGGAGCTGCGAGACGGCGCAGGGTGCACAGCCCAGCCAAGGCTGCCCGACCCTGCCCGCTGCTCCCGCTCCCCAGGACACCTTTCCAGCAACCAACCCCATCCCAGTGCTTGTCATTAAAGATGGCATGATGCAGCTTAGTATGCGTTCCCTAGCTCTAATCACACACACATTTTTTTTTCTTGTAATCTTACAATGGACTTAAGTTTTCAAGAGAAACAAGTTACCAGGGCAATTCCATTCGTCACTGAAGGTATGCCTGAGAAGAGCATCTACTTCAGTACGTCCATTTCCTCACAGCGCTATTTTTCAGCTAAGCACCCTGGCTTTTGGAAGAAATTTAATGCACTCCAGCCCCAAAAACATACAAAGGGAGAAGTATAAATCCACTGGGGCAAGTAAGAACGCAGAGACTGGTTTGATCTCTTTATTTTTTTCCTCTGCAGTATCTTTACAGCCTTTCCAGAACGCACAGCTCTTCCTCAAAGGGAAGATGTTTTGCTATCCATGTTGTGCTATTTCACACCCTTTCTCCAACAGATGGCATAGATCCTCACCTGTTTCGAAAGAGATGTTCGAAATAGTTCTGCATCTTAAAAATAGATCCTAGCTACCAAAGGGATTAGCGATTCTAGCTCACAGGTTGGTTTTTTCAAACAATCTTTGCTATTTTTCCCTCATTAATGGTGTTAGATGTTAACCCCCGTTCTTCTCAGGCTGTAAGTGTGGAGCTACTGTGGGTCGGCCTGCCAGGCAGGATGGACAAGCTGATTTGTAATTCCTACGAATAGTAGGCATAGTACAGGGGCTTGGATATGTTGATAGGACCGCCCACCCACACATGTGAATACACATGTCATGTAACGATGGAAATAAAACATGTCTGCATTTAGAGATCAGCCACAATTGCATCTAGGATTTAAACATCATTGGGGTCCAAAAGTAGAACCAAATGACAGAGCTAACTCCTCTTTCTACGCTAAAATCTGAATCCTGGGTTTGGGATCAAGAGCATCGTGACTGTGAAAAGAGGGAAGGTTGAATTCTGCTGTGCACGCACAGCTGTAGCAACCCCCTCCGATGATTTTAATTCCTTCCTGTCTCTCTTCCAGTATGTACTTCTGTGTGATACAGAGCCAGTGAACAGCTATACTGTTGCTGCCCAAGCCCACAAACTTTCAGCTGTTCGTTGCCAGACCTGTGAGTGGTTTGAAGCCAAATGGGAACAGGATTCAACACGGAGGAGGAGTTAGAGGATCAGTAGATACTGGGCATGGCTGATCCTTAGTAAAAGGAGAAGAGAGAGGGCTAAAGCTGGAGTTAATGCAGACCTTTGCAGATCTGTGTGGACTGCCTAGTTTTCTACTGGACAAATTGTAGAGGGGGAAAAAAACCATATAAGACCTCTTTTCAGTTTTAGCTGTGGAGAGCAATAATGCTATGGAGCAATGTGGTCATGGTGTCATAGCTGAGAAAAGAACCAGCTCACAGATCTCGATGATTTCTGCTTTAGAAGGCAATTTCTCTTACCATTAGAGTTTAGAGACTCCCCTTTAATGTGATTATGGAAGAGCTCTGACTGGGCAAGCCAGGCTCCAATAAACAATGCTACCCCTTTCTCATTTCGTTCTTTGTTGATAGTGTTAGGAAGAAACACACGCTGACTTTCTGCAAGTTTGACCTTCTTCAAAACTGTCAATGTCCTCCAACCCCTTCTGTCAGCAGAGCAATACCACATGTTCACTGGCACGTGTTCCTCCCAGCAGAGGAAGGAAACACATCTTATTTTTCACGTTTTAGTCAGAATTTTTGTTGCTGTTGTTGCCATGCAGGTTCTCTGCCAAGCATAATCTCCTGGCAGGAGGAGACAGATAAACAAGATAAAGAGATGCATATTTTGGTTGTAGCCCTTAAAACTTTTTGATTCAAGCAACATCACCCGGTCCTACTGCCAGTGAAAATACAAAAAGTGCAAAAGCGTGACACATTCAGTCCTTCTGCCCAAGAAAGTAAAAAACAAATTACAGGGAATGACCCCCAATACTAATTGCCCTTTTAGCAGCATTTTTTAGATTCAAAACCAGATGGATATTACTGAATGCTAAGAAACTCAACAATCTTTCACATCATCAGAGAATCAGAGCTGAAATCAGACTTGTTAGCTTGCAATTGCCACAGCCACGCAATCGTTCAGGCAGAACGCGACTTCAGGATTTGAGCCTTTCTTGGTGACGGTACCACATCCTTTCATCAGATCCCCAGCCTTCAGATCCTGCTGTTGCTGTGAGCTGTTCTGGGCACTGTAATAATTCGGAGGTCCTGCAAATACCAGGGTGTCATAAATGAGTTATCCCAAAGTCATTGCTGATGGGAGACATTCCCCTGTCCCTCCTCCCCAACTTTTTCTAAGGCTAATCTCTAGTCTTTTGCCACAACTGTGTAGAGAATGATTTAGTGAAAGAGCAGGGATGAAAGAACATGAGGACACCAAAGTCTCTGCAGTGGACATGATGCCCAATGGGAGAATCTTACACTTTGACGTCAAACAGTGCAATCAAGAAAAGCCTCTGCTAAGTGTGAGACCTTAGCATTATTCTTTACCCTGAAGAACTACAGAGGAATTGTTGTGCCACAAAAATATGTGAACAGAAACAGAAGTTTTCCAGAGGTTCTCACAGGCGTTTGAAATAATCCACATGGAAAAATGTTTTTAAAGGTAAGTTTCAGGTTTTCATCTGTACAGAATAGAAGGTGGGAGAGAATTCCCCTGTACATTTCATTGCAATGGCTCATGTACAGTCATAGCAGCACTGGATGTATTAGGGGGAAAAAAATCTTGTTATTTATGTAGTAATTGAATTCTGTGTTAATTCTGCCTTTCAGTGTGCCCAATAAGTCCCCAGTGGGAGTCGCATGCAAACAGACAAGGGCAGTAGAGAGTCCCTAGAGTGACACAGATGAAGCAACGAGGAATCTAAATAACATCAGATGTGAGTATGTAGGTTAGGAAAACAAACCATGGTTTATTTAAACATGTAAAGTACTCGGGAGGGAAAAAGATTACATTGTACTATGGCAATACAGACAGCACACACCGTAACAAGCCCATCCATCGTAATGGCTTCAGGCTACTCTTTCCAGCCTCCTAATCCGCTCAGTCACACGGATCCCTGGGAGAGGCTCACCATTGGTTTCTCTAGGGGACTCCACACTACGGATAAATTTCATTCAGAATTTGCTGTCCTGTTTCTGTATGTCAGACTCAGGAGCAGAGCATCGTCCACCTACCGGGGGGAGACAGGCGAAATACGGCAAGACTTCTCATGCACTAAGACCCTCTGTCATGGGTTAAGTAAAAGTAGCCTGATGGAACATCTGCTCCTAGGACAAATTACCAGGCTGTCTGCCTTAACCTCATCCAAGACGTGGCTCATCACTGGGATGAGAAGCCTAAAGCAGCAGAGACTGAGAGATACTATGATAGTTTTAAAATGCCGTTTCCAGACACAGCTTTTTATTTCAGGTTCTTCTCAATCCAGTCTTTGAAGGGAAGAGCTTTGGTGAAGCCACTGTAGAGTTCTAGGTTGCAAGTTTTATCATAACCCCAGCTCACTAATCCCATCAGGTGCCACCTCAGCTCAGGAGATGCTTTTCCTGGCAAAGTTATGGCTGCGATCCCACCAGTCTCAGCAGGGCAGATATTAGAAAAGGCCGTGTGGTCTTGTTTAGCACAGAACATGCTGTCAGTGATGCTGACTTGTATCCCATTATCCTCATACTGTTGCTCGCACAACAGTGAATCCACCATCCGAACAGCTCCCATGCGGATCGTGTCATTCTTGTATCCGGGATCATTGATGTCAGCCAATACCTTCCAGCCAGTAACCATTATTTTTAAATCTTCTGTGGATGAAGTCAAGTCATGAGAAGATGACAAGCAAATGGGTTGAACACGACTGCTGATTCTGGCTTTGTCCAAGAGTTTTATGATAGCTATGTCAGAATCAAGTAATATAGGGTCATAATTGGGATGCACTATGATGGCAGAAATCTGGGGAGGAAAGAGAGTGGGAAGAGTGGGAAGAAATGTAGAGTTAACAGCAATAGCAAGTCGGCAGCATTCTTTCCATACTACTGTAACAGTTATAATGAGTTTATTTGGCATATTTCTCTACCCTCTGCTCCCAAACTGTTCTTTCATAGCACTCATTCAAATGGGAAACATGAAAGGAGATCAAACATCTTCTGCCTTTTCTTTTTTTTCACTTGGGTTTCAGGGCAGTTTTTATTGCATGAAACTCTTCCTGATGGAAAGCAGTCAAGGGCATTTTCGGTAAAATGAGGAGCTCACATGCAGTTCAAGTTTTTCTACTGTTTACTGAAAAAATTTTACTTGCCATGTCATTTTCAGTCTGTAGAATTTGAACTGGGCAGGGGACTTTGAATTAAAATGTTATCTTCCTATTGAAAATTCGAACAACAAAACAATACTAGCAATGTATTACATAATGTTGGGGTAGAACCTTCACTGCCAGTTACCTTGATGAAATACTGCAAGAACGGATAGAATTCCTATAAGGAATTATTGTAAAAATACTATATTTCCTTACAGGAAAATTCAGAAAAAGCTGGAATTAGGGAAA